AGGCTGGCTGGACGGGGTTGCAGGGCCCCTGTCACCCTCTGCTTTCCCCCTCCAAGGGAGAATCTTGTCAAAAGGAGACCAGATGAACCACACTTCAGCTGGTCAGGTCTTCGAAGCCTCCTGGGATTGAGACCCGCTCTGGGTGACATGTCCTAGCTCTGCACCACCCTCCTGGTGAAGAAGTTTATCTCTGTGCCCAGTCTAACTATCCAAGCTGTAACTTGTGGCTATTGTCCCTTGCTAAGTCACCTGGGACTGCCAGAAGGGGTTTGGCTCTACTGCTTCTCTAACTCTCTTTCAAAGCATCATTGCCATTATCAGCTCATCCCTTCGCTTCTTCCTCATAAGCCTTAACAGATCCATCTCCTTTGCAGGCTGTGGGCATTAGGTCCTGGAGATGTCACGTGCCCTCCACCAGACCAAATCCATTTTTTCTGCATCCCTCTTCAGCTAAAAGAACCAGAAGAGGACAGTTTCAGGTGTGGACTCAGCAGCACCAGGCAGAGGAGAACAAGCAGCCTCACCAGCCACACTCCTCCTGATGTAGTCTGTGTGGTTTCCACTGCAAGCTCATGTTTACCTGGGTCCCCCCATAACCCCTCCCTGCTCCTTTTCAGCAGGGTTGCTACTCCACTAGTAGGTTTTCTTTTCATCTGAAAGATCCTAATAATACCTGATGGAGTAAGATGTTAGGGGACATCACTATCACCTATATGATGCTTGGAAAGGATAACTTTTCCCAGAAGGGCAATTCATTACAAATCTCAGTCTCTCACTATCCAGCTTTTTTACAGTCACATGCTGGCAGCATGTGAGGACTGGCAAGGAGAAGGGGCAGAACACCTTAGGACCTTGCAGACTTGCTCCACACAGCGTGGCGTGAGGCAGTGAGCACGGAGTGGTGACAGCACTGCCCCACTCAGCAGCTGGCCTCAGCTGCTGGCACCTTGCTGCCCGGCGTGAGGTGCTCTGCCCGGGGAGCTCTGAAGGTGCTGGCTCAAGGTGCGCAGCTGCAGAGGAGCGTGGCCCGGGAGCCCAAAGCTGGGGCAGCAGGGGCTCAGCAGGACTCCTGGGGGCTGCTGCGCTCCTACAGCGATCCTTCAGCTTCACCTCCACCTTCAGCCAGGCCGGCAGGGAGATTGGCTGTGGTGCGGAGCAGAGCGCTGCCCTTCTGCTGCTTCACTGCAGACATCAACAGGAAGGTGATGAGCAAAATCACAGGCTTGCCACTCCTTCCTTATGCCCCTTGCTCCACCTTACTGCAACTCTACTCAATTTGTCAGAGCATCAGCAGCACAAAGCAGACCAGGATTTACCCTGAGGGCTGGGAGCCTCTGAAGTATCCCTCCCACCTCCCACCTCAGCAGCTCAGCAAATTTCCCCTCCCAGTACAGGGCATGGTCCCCTTAACTCAGTGCCGTTTCTTTTCTCTGTGCCACTTGAAAGGCACAATACAGACTTCTCACCATCACCCAGGACAAGCAGACACCCTGGCTTAGATGAGGAGGGTGAGCTCAGGCTGCAGGGGCAGAAGCCAGCCCCAGCCTCGTGCTTCTAGAGAAAAGCCAAGGAGGAAGAACTGTGTCCCCCTTTACTAGTTTATCGAGGTGTCAGCAGATGGAGGGGGAAGGCACTGGCTGCCCTGAGGGCTGCACACCTCCAAACATCCTTCTGCTACCACCTGAATGCCGGGTGTCCTGGCACAGCCCACTGTGCACCAGGGTATCCTGGCACAGCCTGCTGAATGCCACAGCTCTTTGCATGCTCCAGGACGCAGCAGCCTGCTCACACCAGTTTGGAGTCAAGGGTACAGGGTGGAGAATGGTGCCAGGGGGGACACAGATATGCAGCAGGGGTGGGGGAAGAGCCCTGCCAAGCAATGCATTGGAAGGTGGCCCCAGTGACTCAGGGGGAGTAATTTGTGAGGGGAATGACTTTGGCGCTGGCCAGACTGCCTGCTGGTCATGGTTCATCTGCTATGGGAAGCAGGGAGGGATTCATTTGGGAAGCTTCTACACCGTGACTGCGGGAGGTTCATCCACCCCTTCAAGGTGGCAGAGGGTTACTATGCAGCCTTGATCTGCAAATCTATATGCCACCCACTTGTCATCATTAAAGGTCACTGGATGTGCTAGGTAAAAGGCTATGGTGTTTAGCCTAGACTAAGGCTCTTACTGCTTTTTCTTCATCTGGATATGAAAAAGTGTCTTCGCTTCACACCCTAAATTCTTGCACTTTTGCATGGCAATGTCATTTACCCTGACTGCCTCACCTCCAGTCAGCCTAATGAAGGTACACTTAAATGCTAGATGAAACGACTGCTGGCTCCCCAGCACTTCCAAGAGCACTGAGAATGGGGCCCAGCTCTTGCCCCACTGTTTTCAGTCCTGAGAGTGAGTCGGTGGGCTCAGGGGTCTGCTGCAAGGCCAGTTCAGTGCCTGCACCAAACTGCAGCTTGTTCACAGCTGAAGCTGGGCCGCCAGCAGCCCGTGTGCCGCCCGCAAACAAAGCAGCAGAGGCTCTTTGCTGGTGGTGACAACAGCAATAATGCAGGTTGGAAGGAGAGGCCAAGTGCACAGAGCTGATCCAGGTTACCCATGTTTGACAACCACAAATTGGGATGAGAAAGTGTCTTTTCAAAACACTTTTAACACATTCACCTTTGAGAGCTTTCAGCAAAAAGACAAGGCAGGAATGTTAAAGGGTCAAGCTCTGGACGTTTGCCGGTTTTTCCTCAGGCAAAGCCTCACTGATTGCCTGTGGGAAGGGCGAGACCCAAGCAGGGCTGACAGAGGAGTGCCACTGCTAACACTGAAGCACGCAGCCTCCCAGCAGAGACTAATGACAGTGGCAAAGCTCTTTCAAACACACTCTGCTCTCTGCCTGCTGCCAAGAACAACAGTCCAAGAGGCTGCTTGCTCCCTACCACTTTTAGAGCCAGAACCTTCCTCAGGCAGTGGGACCAGCAGTCATGTGGTAGGATTTTGGAGGGGTGAAAGAACAGGTGTGGCTGAGAGTGGTCTGGGCAGTCAATGCAAATGTAGCCTCTACACAACACAGGATCCTCTGGAAACGAGGGATGCCACCAGGCTATCACTGTGGCATGAGCTTCCACGCACAGATGTTAGTGAGACCCAGACAGTGCTCTGGTTGATATATTCAGACAGGGATAGGCAAAGGCATTTGCAGGAGCAGCTACAAGATATAGACGTGAAGTTGATGACCATTGCTAGAGGGTTTCCTGGCCTTTACTGGGTGCAGCAGGGCAATTTGCTGAGCAGAGTTCTACTTGTGAGGAGAACAAGAAAGGCCCACCCACACTGGCCAGGCTACAAATTGTAAGTGCCTAACTAAGGCGCTGATTCAGCCAGACTGCTCACATGATCAAATATTATTCACGTACAGGCTGGAGGATCAATATTCCAGAGCCCTTGTGACTCCCTGTAGATTCAGGAGTCTTGTCACTGCAGTAATCACTCTGTTCCCCGACACCATCGCTCAATCCCAGAAGTCAGGGGAATCTCTGACCCGTCACTGCACAGGTGGGGGACAAGTTCTCAGGCACAGCCTGGTGCTTGAGTAACAATCCTCAGCTTAGCAAGCCTGCTGGCAGTAGAGGGATGTTCCCATCCTGTCCTTTGTATTCCCTTTCACCCGATCTGAGCAGTCATCTCCATCCACCCCTCCTGGCTAAAGGAATCCTCACAAACCGCAGGGACATCTCCCAGGATCCCAAGTAGGTCTGACACAAAGGAGGCCTCTGGGTGAGCCGTACTGGTAGCCGTCCCACAGCTGCAGAGTCAGAGCCACCAGACCCGTCGCTGGCGCTGCCGTGCGAGCGGCTCTCGTCCGAGGCGGAGCAAGGGGCCGCCCCGGCAGGGACAGGGTGAAGGGCTCAGCGCCTGCCATGGGGACGCCGCCGCCCCACCCGTGTGCTGCAGCACGCTCCCACGGGCAGGGAGGAGGCAGGCCCAGCACAGATCTGGGGGGCAAGGAGTGGTGCATCCTCCCAGAGGAATAACGCCCGCTCCTCCATCCCATCCCATCCCATCCCATCCCAACACACAGCTGACAACGAACCAGAGGACCCATGTTTGGAATAAACCAATAAACCTCTTGGGAAGGAGAAAGACCAAGCCACCATTTCATTTCACTTAGAAGGAGTTAATAGCGCTGCCTGGCGTCACTCACTCGGTGGAGAAATGGAAACAGGACTGAGGTTAGAGGCCGAAACATCGCCCTGAGTGCACAGCCAGGCATCCCTCCTGCAAGGGCTTTGATACAACACATTTATTTTGCTGTGTGGCAGTACTGCACAGCACACACACATTACCAGCCGTTTCAGAGCCCTGAGTCGTCATCCCTCCTGCCTTCCCTGAATTTTGGAATAGAGGAAGGACCACTGTCCTCTTCCCCATTTCACCTGCAAGGAAACAGGACAGGAAAAGTCCAAAACCACAGAGGCACTTGCTGATAGGACTGGAGATGAACCTCAGAAAGCCAGACTCCAAGTCCACCATTCTCATCATTAGGGTCTCCTTTCCCTGGTGCTGGGAGAGGAAGCCCTAGTGCCAGCTCTCCACAAGGTCTCCCTCCTCTAAAGAACTTTCCACATATCTGACCAGAAATCAGACTAAGGAGATGGCAAAAACAAATACAAAGCCTACTGGATTTTAAGAGGACTTACCACCTCTCTCTGAGCATCTGAGAAAGTTTTGGGGCATTCTAAGTAGGGCTATGATTCTTTTGAATGCTCTAAGACTGCTTAAGAAATAGCCAAGGAGATGCTTTTGCTTCCAGTGTACTCCCACTGGAATCTGAGTGGAATAAAAAAAGTACCCTGCCCTTCCTGACAGACAGTATCCTGCACCTCCTTTTCCTAAACCATGAAATGGCAGAGCTCTGGTACCCAGTCCACCTCTCAGCATCACAGAGAAAGCTAATGCTGTAACAGGCAAGGACAGTGCAACCTGTAGCATGAAACAAGACCCCAAAATAGCCCATGGAATAGACAGAAACAGTCAGAAAGACAGTGTGCCATGGAGAGCAGAAGGGAGGGCGGGAGCACTCAGGCCTCTCCCACCAGTTCATGTCAGTACGTGGAATGGTGCATCTGGCTCAGGAGAGCAATGACCAGCTTCCCCAGCTGAGACCCCTTCAGCCACAGGAAGAGTTCATACAAGTTGATCTGCCACAGGCTCAGGGCTTCTGCGAGTGAGATCTGGGCCCTCCTGTAAAGTGAGTGACTCTTGCTCCTCTGGTACCTAGAATGAGAGAAACAGCTTCATTAGATCCTGGAGGATGCAGCCTGTTGGGAAGGAGGCCTGTTCTACAACTTCAGCACAACTGACCCTCCTCAGGGGAGAGGAATGTCCCACATGTGGAGAATGACCAGCAACAGGGAACCCTGGGAGTAGGGATTTTCTCCAAGTAATGTTTCTGAGGAGCTGACAACTGCCTTCCCAGCATGAATCTGGCAGAAGAGACAGCCTGCTCCCTTCTGGACCTGGTTCCCTCCCCACTGTGTGTAGTGACCCTGGGCCACGGCATCCTCTGCTTCCATGCCCAACTTCACTTCAGCTAACAGGGACACGTGCACACTCCTACAGCCTTTCCTGTAGCACATTCGTAAGAGTCCAGCAATTCTGACACACTGGTTCCAGGAAAAGTAATTCTCCACCTTTTTTTTAGAAGCAGAGGTTAACTGGCCTTTGTAGGTCCCTCATCAGCCAGAGAAATAACTGTTACTTCTTCTGCAAGAAGGAGGACTCTGAGGCAGAAGTGCATTGACTCATAAGAGTCATAGATGGAAATCACTTGCATGACTCCCATTCCTGGCTTTTAAACATCAGCCTGATCTTCACAGTCAGCACTAGACCCTCAATCAGGCTGCAGAAACTGACAGCAGTGAACCTCCAGATCTTTCCTGCCCACAAATACTTCCCAGCGGTGATGCCTGTAATGGGCAGGAATACCCTTCCCTTCCTCTGGAGGGGTCAAACCTTAAAGTCTTACCCTAACGCCTCCAATTCCATCCCTGTGCCCAGCCCAAGGGTGACAGTGCTGTCCTCTGGTGAGGCTGACAGCTGTGAGAACAGCACAGAGAGAGGCTGAGATGTCTAATTGAGCAGGGCTAGGACCTAAGCAGATGTGCTAATGAGGGGGAGAGGTCCACAGCTAATAGTAAGAGGTTAGGAGGTCAAGGTAGGCCTTGTCAAGGCCCTGAGTTGGGGGGCTTTAACAAGCCTTAATGGCCCTGAGTAGCCTGGGACCTCCCCCAACCCTCTGCTCTTTGGCCCAGGACTTCCATTTAACCTCAGCCTGCACCTTCAGTCCCTGCCTGAGCTACCCCGGAAGAGTAACACTCCCCAGCTCATGCCCTACTGCGAAGCCCCTCGACCTAGACCTGAATTCACATACTGAGCTCTTGGCTTGACCTCTGCCCTGTGCTGTCACCACGGGTCTGCCCGACAACCACTGGACCTGATCTACAGATTGACTGCCTGGTTTGACCTTGGACTTGCCCTCTCACCATGACGCTGCATGATGATAGGGGCTTTACATTGGACCTCATCACCACCTTAGGGTCTGTCCTGCTTGCCTTGCTAAGCTACTGCAGGACTGCGCCCTGGCTGGTCTGCTGGCCCTGGGATCCTCCCCAGCTCTTGGCCCCCAGGGACAGCCAGCCCCAGGTGCTCCATGTCTGGCCTCTGGTGCCTGGAGAAGACACTCACGTGGAAACGGCTCTGATGCAGCAGCGAGACATGTTGAGGAAGGAGCTGGCACTGGCTCGTGTCTGCAGGGCTGACTCAATGCCCCGCAACAAGTCATTGGTCTTCAGCAGCAGCAGCATCTGCCGGGGGACGTTGTTGAGGAGCTGGGTGATCTGGGGTAGGTAAGCAGCGGCATTGGACCGGATCTCCACATCCTACAGCCAGCCAGGCCGTGTCAGGGAGAAAGGAGAGAGAAGCTGAGAATGCACAGGAAACCTCAGCCCAGATGCAGATGAGATTTGGCAGGAGGAGATGGTGTTTTTCCAGACCATGACTCTAGGCCAGAAGCTAAAGAGCTCTTTTCCCTTTTTTCCCACAGACACCTAGCTATCCCAAGCACTTACAGCACAGCCACAGCTCACTCTTGCCATATGCCACCTGCCCCTCAGTGAGATAAAGCTCTGTCCCTTTACTGGCAGGATTAACAGCCTCTCAGGAGAACAGGGCACTCATTGCTATCTCGGTTCTTGGCCCCAGGCAGCCCACAGCAACCATGTCTCATTACTGCCCTTGCAGCCTTATGAGTCTCACCTCGTCAGCCCCAAGGCTGGCAGAGCTGCAGGTAGCACAGGACTGCTCAGGAAGGTGGAGGCATGCTGCAAGGACAGCCAGGCTGCTCTTTGTCCTGCTGTCCCATGCAACCCATGGCTTTATGCTATACTGATGAAGCTGTTTCCAAGGGTCCTCTGTCCTCAACCAAACTCATCAGAGGTGAGAAATCACTACGCAGTTAAGCATCACGTTAACCCAGAAGATCAAAAACTGTCACCTGTCAAGAGAGCTCCCCCACCATTCCAGCAAATGTAGTGGTGTGGTGTGGAGCTGATCCCATATGCACACACCATGTCCCTACCTCTTCCTACAGAGGCCATGACATGCATCAGCAAATTTAAACAGAAGTCCCTGGAACACCTGAAATCTCTTGAATACAGCAGGACACATTAAAAGAGCAGTAAACAACTTCTTAGAGGATGGAGGCTCCTTTGTGGGGAAGGGAAAGGAGAGCTCTAAAACCTCTCCTCTGAAACGAGGGCTGGCTGGCCTATATTTCAAGATAGGGGATCTCACTCTCACTCTTTGTGAACTTCAGACTTATTACAAAGGAACAGATCTGCACAAATCGAGTGTGTGGGTCATGATGGTCAGAGAAGTACACAGCTAACACACCACCATAGCCGCTTTGCTGTTAACAAATAAATCTTTGGTGTCCTCCTGCCTCCACCACTTCTCAAGCACGCAAAGCTTCAGCAAGATGTTTCACTCTCCTAAATGTTAAATATTTGTTCCATAATTTGTTGGCAGGAATTCCTCCCTGATTATCTCTTATCCCTTATCCCAGCCAGCATCACTGCAGAGCCTACTTTATTTCCCACACATAGGTTTTCTTTTCTATTTATTTTCTTTTGATTTTTAGCTCAAACTGCTTGTCCATATCAGAAAACAACCACATGATCTGTCATCGGAACTGTCATTTTCTGTCAAGGGCGAAGCCTGTGCGCAGAGGAAGAAATGAACTATGCCACAGGACCTGAGAAAAGCCCCTTGGCTGCAGTCGCCGAGCCTGCTGCAGGATGCAGCGAAACACAATCATACAACCAGAATAGATGAGGCTAGAAGCCACCCAGGCCTTGGCTTAAGGCAGGAACAACTACACCTATGGCAATCCTCACACATTTGCCTAGCATGCTCCTAAAATTCCAGTGATGTGATTCAAAGCCTCCTCAGACCACCTGCACCAGCATCTCATTGGCCTTGCCATTAGATCTGACTATTCTCATGTTTAACTCCTATCTCCTTACCCAAATTTAAACCCAGTACTTCTTGTTCTGTTTGCAGCAGTCTTTAACAGATTAGAAAATCACTACAACTCTTCTTGATCCATGCTTTTCTACACTTTTTCTGCCCTAATTTGCTGAGACTTACCTTATGGGTTCCATCTGCTTGCTTGGCCACTCAACCTTGTAGCTTCCTATTGGACTTGCCCCTTTTTCATCCAACCTTTCTCAAGATGCAGTGCCCCAGACTGGACACAGCACTGCAAGTCAGATTTTGTACTCCCACATCAACACATCCTCAAGCAAACTCTCTGAAGCTTTGTGCTGATGGTACCTGCCTACAACAGCCCTTGGCTCTTGCCACTGATACAATCTTTCAAATTCACCTCTAAACTGAGGGCAAGCAGCAGCTCATTTCCTAATGCCACAGCAAATCTGCTCATCTCCCCATTATCTGCTGCAGGATTATCCAGTTTCAGCATTAATTGTGTCATGTAGGCAAAGACAACAGAGCTAGCTCCACACACGCAATTCAATGCAATGACAAAACTCATTAGCCCACCCAAGCCGCCACGTGGCTGCAGGTACACCTCTGGCATAACCTTCACAAGCCAGTTCAGGATAAACATTGCTTATTAGATCAGATTCAACACTGGCCTGGTAGTATTGCAGCCAGATCCATGTCCATTCGCTTTGGTGCCCCTGAATTTTTTTCTGGAGCTACCAGCTCCAGAACTCACCAGATCAAGCACAGATTTCCTAGGCAGTCACTATATTATTTCTGATATGCAGAAAATTAACTCACATAGGAAGCAAACAAATTACTGGGTGGGGGGTCCATTACCCAAGGTATCCGACCAGCTCATTGCCATGGATATTGGAAAACCAGTGTAACGAATTCTGCCACATCCATCAAAATGAAATGCCAACCCAAAGGAATTTCCAAAAGACAATTTCATGGGACAATATTATAATGCTACTTAAATTAATTTCATCCTCTCTATTACAAATGTACACAGATAAAAACAAACCACGGGATACAACATTTCATCACATACAGACACTAGTCCCTTGGCTGAAATCACATCACCCTATGATCATCCCTAAAACAGCACAGTTGGCAGTGGATGCTACTATTCTTAAGGCAGTGTGAGTGTGTCAGGAGTGCACAGAGGATCCCAGTATGTGTGGATAGGAAAGGGTGGAGAATGTTAAGTGGCAATTTCCTAGATTGAGTTGACAGGATCTGCAGTTAAGCAACCTTGACTCCAAGTTAATAGGGTTTCTGATTGGGTGGTAATTTCCAAGGGTTTTTAGGAGTTTGTATCAGTGCTGATAGTCATTTACATGAATAGTGATAATGCATTATCCTTCTCATGTCTTCTCACCAAACCTTTATGTCTCCTCTGCCTTAACCTATCCTCCTTGACGGTTCCCTGCATAGCTGCATTCAACAGTTTTTTAAGAAAAGGCTGATCTACAAGTGTTTCCCCTGACAGAACTGGTGAACACTTAGCCATTAAAATATTATACAAAATTTAAGCAGCCCACGACAAGTGAAACTGGGAACTGAAGTTCCGTTCCTATAAAACACACTGCAGGAGGAGTCCTGGCTTTTTCCAGCACAGCTCTCCATGCAGAACTTGCTGTAGAGCTGTCAGGGGCTGCCCAGCATCGCTGCAACACGAGCAGTACAAGTGGTTACAGCAAAGGCAGGCATGGAGGGGAAGGAAGGGGACAGGGGACCTACCTCGCTGGCCGTGACTGGCGAGCGGTCAATGCCCCTGTTGACAGACTCCCAGGACCTGGCAGTCAGCATGCAGGCGAAGAGAGGGTACAGGTCCCCTGCCCCGAGCCGCCGGCTGTACTTCTGCACCCGCTTCATGTCAGCCTTGATGAGGGCCTGCCAAAGGCGGCAATAGTCCATGCGGAATGACTCACTCAGCACCTGAGGAGGGAGACATGGCCCCCAGAAGTCCAGGGAGAACAGGAAATTGGGGAGAGAAAGCCTTGTGCCCCTTAGCTGTGCCCTATCCCCCATTTCAGAGCCAGGAAATATCCTTGGAGGGTATGGGAGTACCAGGAAATATGTATTCATAGGGGCTTAGGGGGAAAGGCTGCAGCTGGGTCTTCTCTTTCAGCCTGAGGCACACAGGCAGCCTTGCTAAGGCCCTGGAAGCCCCCCATAGCTACGTACCTGGTAAAGCCCATGGTCCAGGAGGATGATGTGGGCCTTGCCAGAGACTGGACATTTCTTCACTAGGACGTTGCCTGGGTGTGGGTCACAGTGCACAAAACCATTCACAAAGATCATTTCACTGTAGAGCTTCCCCAGGTTGCGAGAGATCTGTGAGGAAACAGGAGACGGTTTCACAGTGCTACCCACAGCATCACGGGTGCCTTCAGGGAGGGGAGCAGCCCTCCACGTGCCAACACTGCAGGGACTGATGGTCTAGTATGTCCCGATGTCCTCATGCAGAGCTCTTGAAGCTCCTCACGCTGACAAAGGCACAGAGTGGCTGCTGGCATCTACTGTGGGGTGACCCAGGGCATTCAGGGAATGATCCACACAGGCAGCATCAGGAAGGTGTTTGTGGGGTCAAGGCTTATTAAAGGACACTTGGCTGGCATACAAAAGAGAAAATATCCGTGGGTAGGAATGGGAGTTTCTGTTAATGAGGGCAACGAGACATCAGAGAAGAGCCACGAAGCCTTCACATGGAAGGCATAAGAAGAGCTCCTGGGGTGGATGTGAGACCACTTGAAGGAAGACTCAGGTGTTCACCTTTATGGATGGCAGCAGGACCTGGAGAAGAGATGGCAGGAGACAGCCTGTCCACCTGCTTACTAGAACAAACACTGGTCCCTTCTCCCCTCCCTCCATAACACTGTCACCCGTTTTCCTCCTTCCTTTCCTCCGATCCATTCCAGTCTGATTTGTAATGTCTGTGAACATGAAGCAGCACAGAAAGGCTGTTTAAATCATTCTGTCACTGCTGTGTCCCCCCGTGCTGCTGCTCCATATCATCAAGAGATGTTATTAAAATTAAAGACCTCCTAGGAGCGAGCAAACATCCTCAGGGCCTGGGATCAGTCCCTCACCATGCAGGAACACAGCAGCCTCGCCCTGACATCCCACCACCGGCCCTCCTGCCATCAGAGCATGCAACAGTGCTCCACAGTAGGGTGCTGAACAAGCAATTAAAAGACAATCACTAAAAATGATTCCAAGCATGTCCCCAGGCATGCAGTGTAAGCAGCAAACAGGCAGCTGGCCCCACAATCAGAGGTGGTAGAAGAGGTAACAGGGATACCAACGCTCGTTGGGATACAGGGATACAGCTCGTCCTGCAGAAAACCAGACAGCCAGGAAAGGGCTTGCTTTTGCCAACACTGAAATGCAGCCACCTCTGTGAAGTGCATTTGGTACGAAAGTGCTCAAGTAACTACAAACAAGGAGAAAGAATGGGAATCCTCCCTGGAGCACACCGACAGAGACAGTGGTAGGACCAGGTGGGACAGCTCTCCGTCCCTCAAGTGGAGCTGGAGCCACTCCTAAGTGATGGACCTGCTGCCCGGTGCCAAATCCCCCTCACAGGTGGCAGAGCACAGCCCTGCGCACTCCTGGAGTGCAGCTCCCCTAATGCCTCACAGGGCTGCTTTAAGTACTGGCTGAGGTGAACGATGTTTCCCTTCTGAATGACCACCAGAGATCACTGGAGTGACCCTTATAGGTCTCCCAGATCAATGAGCTCTAAAATTGGACAGGACCAAGTGCTGTGACCTCTTAGCAGAGCTGAGCTTGCTGACAGTCCAAGGACGTGCCAGATAGTCTGTTTTAAGCCAGTCACTCATTCACAGGGCCTCCCAGGGCCCTGCACACCAGGAGGAATGGACTTGGACATCACAACTGATCATAGCATCAGGCACAATACTTGTGTAGACACTGAGTGAACCCCATTTTGCCCTCTTGGACTCAGTTGTCTGCCCTACAGGCTCCTGGAAGAGGAAAGAATTATTGAAAATTAGGACCTGGGGGCAATCTGGGGCACATGATGCCCCACTCCCATTAAACAAACCCAGACAAAGGCTAGCAGTTCTGCAAACCTGTTAGCTGGTTATGGGTAAAGCCTGGAGAGCTGTTAATTTGGGACACTGGAATATGTCCTGCTTCAAAGACAGCAGATTCTCCTTCTGTGCTGCAGTAATGGCACAGGTTGAGAAAGTCAACCAGTGGAACAAGTTGCCCAAAGAGACTGTGCAATCTCCATCCTTGGAGGTTTTAAAGACCTAACTGGTTAACAACCTGAGTAAGCCAGTTTGACCTCGTAGCTGACCCTGCCTTACCAGGAGGTTTGATAGGAGACCTCCTGAGGTCCTTTCCAACCTCAAATATCCTAGGATCCTACCAAAGCACCTCTCACCAGGTTATCCATGCCATCCTCATAACAGTTTCTTATGGTATGGCTGTAGATTCAAGGTGCAGGGAAGGTCTCCCCTCCTGAGCCACTGCCTTCAGAAAGGTTACCAAACAGATCTGTGGTCACAGCCTTCTGCAGCCCACGATGCAACACATAAATAGTTCAGGGTCCCCCAGCATTGTTCTGCTGCACATTGTAAAAAAAAATAATAATCACCCTTGGAATCCTGCGTTCACTTCCAGACACCTCATTAACAGAGAGATGCAGACTACACCAAGCGAGTTCAGAGAAAACAAATACATGAGCAGGATGCAGGAGATATTTACTTGGGAAAAAGATTTAAAAAGCTGAAGATTCTGAAGTTGGTTAAGGAATGGCAGAGGACAGACAGTCTACTGATGTTAGAAGGTCTGGAGAGCAAGGAAGCAGAAGCACTTACAGCACCAGATGTGCTACAAGAAATGCAAATAGGCAGAAGGGGCTGTAATTAAGAATGGTATAATTTAGGCATAGCACGCAAGAAAAAAACTGTGCTAGTCAGCAAGCAGGGCTGACCTTGGTATGTCAGGATGACACCAGACACTGGCTCTGGCCAGAGGCAGGTCCTTTTCTATTGCCAGAACGTGCGTTACTGCCTAAAAAGTTCAATTTGCCTGTCCGTGCTGCAGCAGAGCATGCCAAGCGAGCCTGTGGCCCACCTGTCAATGCAAAGAGCAACCTGCTGTTGCCACATTACGTGACATGACCACAACGCTCTTGTCAGGCAAATTGCACTTTTTCAGCCCAATGTTTTCCTTCTGAGAAAACTGTAGCTGAGGAATATGCAGACTGCAGGCAACAAATGGAAAATCAGTAGCCTGGGCAAAACTGGTGGAGTGACAGATATACCAGCCAGACCGGAGTAACTCTTCACTAAACTAGGCACACGAAGTTCATTTTATGTACTCAAGGCAAGGACGCCACATGTCACAAACTATCCAATGTGAGTTACAAGCCAATACAGAAAAAATTAAGAATGCAGTGCAGACATTAGGGATTGTTATTGTACAGTCTCACACAGTCTCTCTATAAATTGGTCAAGTTCACTGGAATTAAGTAAGATAGAAAGCATGACTTCAGAGGCTGTTCCAAAAATTCACTCTTTAGATGGTCAAAACCTTTGCCCTAAATCCCAGACTAGTTCTAACAATGTCCAGTTTAAATAATTTCCTTAGCTAACATAACACTAGAGTTTAACTAGTTTCTTAACTTCACCAGTCTTTACTACTCCAACATGTTCAGCAGTAAGATAATTATCACCACAAATACAGAATAAACATTGCCCCATTGCTATAAGATGCTCTTCTATCTGATGTGTTCTGGGAGTCAACCTCCCTTTTATGCAGTCACACCACATTTGAAACACACACTTATCCCATGATCGACTAATAACCCAAAGCTAATTCTTATATGTCACTTCCCTCTCATAAACTCCCAGTACATTTAAGAAGCTCTTCTTATTAGTTTTTAAGTGCATGGCTTTTCACTTGGTATTGCTAATTTTTATCTCTTTCTATCATTTCAGTCCTCAAGGACACCAACTGCTACTGCTACTCTGGTGGTCCCCTACAAAGACAGAACCCTCCCACTTGGTGTCATCAACAACCTTCTTAACACAGCTTCGTTTGTGTCAAGGTCACCACTGAATTTATTAAATAAGACCAGTTTGAAGAGCAAATCTCACAAAATTCCACTATGGTAATTTCTCTCCACAATTGCCCCTACCAGTTTCTTACCTACTTTGCAATTTCCCTCTTAATCCCCACCTTTTCTAGTTAACCAACTCATATCCCATGTACCTAATGTTTTACTAAGTACACTTACTGCATTTCTGTCATCTAATTCAAAGGATCCCGAGCTGTAGTGCAGGTAGCAGCAGTGATATATTTCTCCTTGCATATGTAAACAGATGCAAACTGTTGCTGCCACCAGCTTTGAAAGCCTAGACAACCTGTTACCTTCACATGATCCACTAGGAGCTACTTTTGATGACCCCATATTACACTCCCTTGCATGCAGCCCCATAGCAGCGAGCTCCTGGACACACACTAGTCCCTGCATGCAGCTCTCACCTTAACAAATCGGCACACAGATGACAGAGCACCCTGACAATAACAAAACACTGCAAGTCCATCACAAATTAACATCTTTACAAGCAGTAAGAAACTTCTCAGAAAGGAAAGAATTTGTGCAAATTTGAGCCCATGAATACTCCTCCAGCAAAAAACCACACATATCATGTTCACGAGTAGCTGCAATGTAACTAACCAGCCTGAGTTATCCAGGGAATGTCACTGATACTCTGCTGGCCCGTGAGCAAGCTGGAGTGGTCCTGGCTCATGCCTCCAACTTTCATGAAGCCGAAAGGCAAAGAAAAAAATCCTGTAATATGGTCCTGTAGAACTGATCTCACTACCTGCCCCTGATAAGACCCAGATGAAACTGCCTGATAGGGCATCATCCCTTCCTGTCCCACCTCCATCTGTGACTGTCTCTTTAGATCAGGAGCAGATACTAGTCTGTGGCCTTAATTTGGCTGTAATATTTGCCAATTATTTTAAGAGATGGCGACACTAACTTCTATTGATCTTATTAAAAGTAAAGGTCATTGTGCAGCTCATTTCTCAGGGCTCAATATTACCTCCTCAGGCCAAAATAATAGCATTGATTTTGGAACCTTAATCGAAGGTTAATTGGATTGAAGAGTGCATTGTTTTTGCTTTCTTTTGTTGTTATTACAGCCATCATCTAAGGGCTTGCTTAATCCTACTAGGGCAATCCTGCCCAATTAAACTGGTGTCAAATTAGCAAAGGGTGTGGATGGAGAATAGCCACAATGTGAAGCTGCTCTGTGTCTCTGCTCTGAAACAACTCTTGTCCATAGCAG